GAGCGGCTGCCAGGCGTCACACCTAACACACTGGGCTTGTGTCAGCAATGGCTGCTGACCTCTGGGCATAGAGAATAAATTGAAACTTTCTCTCTGTGTACGTACTGATTAGTATTACGACACATTGATCGCTACTGATTATTTAGTGAAATGGAACATTAAGAATTTATTCCATGTAATTTTTCGGCACTGCACTACGTTTAAAAAAACATGCGATAGTTAGGACCTATGCAGTAGGCTCATCATCATCATTGCCATTGGGTGCCATCCCTTTCGGTCTTGTGCCATTCTTTTACTTTCACTATATTTTCATTGTTCATTTCATTTTGTCCATCCATGTTGTTCTTGGTCTTCTTTCCCCATTTAACTTTGCTTCCAATAGCAACCGCTGCAAATTATTTTTTATGGTGTGACCAAAATAAGCTAAAGAGATAAAAGCGTTCGTTTTGGTAAAAAAAAAAAATAAATAAATAAAAAAATAAATAAATAAATAACGGATTTTCCTGGGTAAGGGACGATTTCCCCATACTTAGCAATGGTTAATAAATCAATCCCAACATTCATAGTTTTTTTTTTCTAAAAAGCCTGTAATCCATGATTGAAGGTCTGGTGGCAAGAGCAGATTCCACAGTAATTGAGATAACCGCTGTTTTGGTGGTAACATGGGATTTATTTTATTTCTGTTATAGTTGTTTTCGATGTTTTTATTGTGAAATACAAATCTCATATGAACAGTTGTTATCCCTTTAATTTCCTTTTCTTGATGGTGTTCAATAATGAAACTGTTGTTTAGAAATTTTAGCAATTTCTCATTATTCTAGTGTTTAGTGCATGATATTTTAGCATCCTTCTATCTATCCGTTTCAAACATTTCGAGTTTTTATTTAGATTGATATTCAATCAATTTCTCTTATATTTATAACTTTAGCTCAGTTTTCAAATGATCTTGCAAATTCTATTTCTCTTTATTTCTGTCACCTTTTCAATTGTGTTGTTCTCATGTAACCCAGGTATACCGTTACCACGCGGCTGACTTGTAGAATTGGTTTTCGTTTATGCTGATATTAACCACTGTCACTTCATTTTTTTCTGCGCACTGCTATTCCTTGTATCTTTGTTATACATGCACATAAGTTTGTGGACATGCCGTACGAGTTCAATATAAGTAACAGTTGATAAGTCTGTTCTTTATATTTATTTGAAATATGGTTGCAAGGCATTGGACAGGGATTTGGGGATGGGGGGGGGGTGCACTACAGGCCAAGGAAGTCTCAGAATAAAACTGGTAGTACAAAAAAAAAAAAAAAAAATTGAAAAATGCAAACAATACAACAAACAAGTGAGCTTGGCTAATACATGTTGGTAATTTTATTGTCTCCAACAGAAGCCACCCTCCATATTTTTCATGATTAACTAATAATACACAAGGCAGAGGCAAGCATTTACATATCTACAATTAATATAGCGTGAGCAGATTCACAATACTGAGACACGTTCCATGTTTTATACAAAACCGGTTTCCAATAATGTAATGTTCATTTCTTGTAATGTACACAGTTTGAAATTGGGTCATCAAAACCAGAATTAAATTCTCCAAAATGTAGACGAAAAAAAAAGATGCATCAGTACTATACTGACTTTGCCAGGCCAACGATAATATAAATTTTTCTAAACCTGCCGAGATTCCTTACTTCCTTTTGTTTTTACCCATCCAGTTATACTTTAAATAAAGATATTAACTTCATGAAAGTACAAAGGAAAATGAAGTCAGGAACATCAAAAACTGGGTCAACATGACCTACTGTCAGAGATCCTGATTATTGCACTAAAACAACCTGAATATGCACAACTCTGCTTCTTTTCTTTCAAACGACTCAGAATATATACAATACATTATGATGAAGTCAAAAGGATAAAGAGTTTGTTAGATATCCTACGTTTCAGACTGAACAGTACCCGCTATGACATTAATTGCATCAAACCCAAAGAGATCATAGAATTGATTTGCACTGTATGACCCTTTCCAAATAATACATTTCTGGCTTCCTTTTTGGTATATACTTTCTACATTTACTTTGAAATTACTGGCTATCATATACATGTCCTTCAAACACTTGCAATGCGGACTTATCTATCATGACCTGGCAAAGTCTAATAGTGTAAACAGAACTGAAGCATGTTATTAAACAAAGTAAGGATGCTTTTACCATATATTCTTAAAAGATTGCAAATAATCTGTATTAACCTCCATTAAAATGATAATATTTAAGTTCAGGCGGTGCAATGTTTCTTTTTAAAAAGTGCAAATTTTCTACATCTGTTTTGGTAAAAGTGCAATATATTTTTTAAAATGAAAATGCATCTAAATTGTTTATAATAGGTTGCTATAAATTTGGATTTTTAAGCTGTTGCAAATGACCTGTTTGACATAATAGTTATCACTAACAGTTTTAATTAAAACCATTAAAATTATTACAGGCAATAATAATCATTGTACTTTTGTAGTCGATTAAAATGAAAATCCAAGTTCATGCATATAAAATTGAAATCTTCCTAATAAAAATTTCAGGTTTAAAAATTGCTAGAAAACAAACAGCACAGAATAATCAGAGCTGGCCGGTTTCCTTTTCATGATGTTGAGATTAAGGAATAAGAGAGTAAATCTTCTCCATCACATTTGGAGAGAATTTTCGGATAGATATTTCCCAAATAATTTTGCCTTTTTTTTTCCACTTGGAACTATTCAAGTTTCAGAATATACCACCCATATAAACCCTCTAAAAGTATACTTGGCTGAAGACTCAAAAGTTTATCTTTCAACCCAATCCAGCTTGGATAGTGACTGTAGTTTTCTGCATTTATGTTAAAATAAAAATAATTTTACAGTGAAACAGTTAAATCTACAAGAACAGTCTAAAATACTACATAAATAGCATCTTCCTACCAGGCCCTAGCAGTCTATACCAAGATACATAGAAAACAGGTAAGAATGAATTCCTCGTATGCAAAAGTACTCTCCTAGGGTAGTCGGATCTTTTATTCAGGTTGTCTCAAAGGTCATGACCTAGGTCCAAGTGACCTTTGACACAATGAGTCACACTTAAGCGCAACTGGGTTGAGAATCTTAAGACACTTAACACAGAGTTCACACCCAACACATCCAACTAATCATGGAACAGCCAGATTAAAACTTTGTACATTTTTTCCTTATTAAAACATGAAAGTGCCTCAATGAGCATCTGTAACTTGTCGTTAAAAGTCAAAAGGAAGCTGGTATTTAGAATTGTGTAAAATCCCTGCAAGACATTGTCTTGAATTAAGAAAGCAACTAATGAAAACCTTATCAATCCCTTTTTACGTTTAAAGAAATTGATGGGAAACAAATAAAACCAAATAGGCCAGTGACCAATCTTTGAAGATATTTGCCAAACTGCTTAGAACTCACACTTTGTATCATTCCTGCCTCTACCACATTTTAATGTAGTATAATTATTTCAATAAATAAACAGCATGAATATGTGACAATCAGATTTGAACCTCCCACATGACTGGGGGCCTGTACAAACACATACCTAAAATTCCCAATTCTAAAATTGCAGGGGGGGGGGGATCACTCTCATCTTTGTCTTGGTAATAGAGGTTTTCCTCTTTAAGAATACTGCATTTACAATAATAGTAACAATAATATCAAGAAAAATCTCACAAGCATATTCTATCTTCCCAAACTAACTCACCATGATGATAATGATGAAATCATCTAGCCAAGTTCAGATTATTACTTTACTGGCTTCTGCCAACTTTTCATTCATTTTGTTCCAACCATGTACAGCAAGACAAACGATCCACCATTCTGGAAGATACTATACCTGGGGGATAGACAGTTCACAGGAGGGGAACGCCCCTCATATTCCACTAAGTAGCACAACACTTTATATTCAACCTCATGTCATGTCACATTCTACCACTTCAACCATGGTGCAACTATGGGGGGATACTTACTTCAAGCATTACTTATGTACATTTATGTACAGATAATTAGAACATTGCATCGTCTCAATATTTCCTGAAGACTGACTAGCTTCCATTCAAGTCATCTCTATTTCTATGCAGAGGATGTTTGCTCGACCCATACATAATTCATTTTCTTTTCTGGCTTGACGAATTAGACTTTGAAAACATCGTATCCATGTCTATCATCTGCCATTTCCTTTTTGCATGTCCCCACAACTTGTAAAATCATCAAATTGTTTATGTGCAGTTTTCTTAATGTTGCCTCTTGGCAGAGATATTTTCAAGTGAAGTTCTTTCAGAACGTGGCAACATCAACCATTTATGATTGAAATCAAACTTCCTTTCACATCATTCAGTCATGCCTCTTGGATAGCCCTTGTGTAGCCTGGTCCTTGCTCTACTTTCCATCTTGAACAAGAGTCCACCTGTTTCCTCTGGTGCAACAGATTGTAGCATTCACATAACCCTGGCATCACCGGTTATCTCACATTGTCCAAATAATTGTGCAAGTCATGTCTTGACCAGCCACGCCATCTACGTTTTATTGTCCTCTGGCAGGCAGTGGCTGAATATCTTTGCGTAGGCAATAATCAGGGGTCCTTTTTTCTTTCTGTTTTGTAACCCAATCCAGATTCACTGTGCCACAGTGTGCACCAGGGTCTATTTAGGAGCAGGGAAGTATCTAGCTTTAGGCTTGGACACTCTTGCACGCAGGCCTATATTCTTTCCTTCACAGCTCATGTGACTAACCTTCACAGCCAGGAGGGGGCACCAGAGATACACTTATCTGTCATCAGTCAGTTCAGTCCCTCTACCACAGGAACCCTTATCTGCATGGTCAAACACCTCTGTCCTAGGCTTCTAAAGTTTAAAACCTTTCTTTGTCAAAACAATCGAAGGAGAACGGCAACTTCCCTCCCTTTTCTTTTCTCTCTCAAGCTGCTCGGCTTCAGGGTTAAATAGCACATTACCTAATTCCCTCACAATCATTAATGGCTGGCCACAGGGGATTGTTGAACACAGACTCCAACCATAGGAGAGTCCTCGCCACTGCCACCTACAGTCCGAGCATTATGGGGCACAGCTTCTGTGTTCCCTGTACTCGACGTTGTTGCTAGCGTGAATGGGAAACCTGGCCCTGAGAACAGAGTCTGATGGTTATAGCTATATGCAGGATTGAAACCCGCTGCAGGAATCTGCATGTTCATACCGGTAGTGCCCCCTTGGGCTGCTGTGTCTAATCCAATAAACTGCTGCGGCCCACCACCGCCAAGTGCATTCAACTCCGTAGTGGAGTTAATAGCGTTAAAGTCTACTTTCATCAGTGGGGAAGACACGCGGGGCTGCTGGTGTAAATCCTGTGACATCATCTGTGGTGGCGCACCCTGGTGGCCAGGATGATGA